GCATTATTGTAATAGAGTAAACAGCAAAAAAAAAAGAATCTTTCTAATTGGTTGTTACGAAAAATTTTTAACCGTCCAGTTGTTTTCCCGTCTTCTAATAAGAGACTACTTTAAAAATAGATAGCAAAAATTTTCTAGTTGACCCGAAATAGATTTTCATTTTCAAAGTAAGCGAAACTTATTATATGTACCGGAAGGTACGATTCGCGACTGTTTTCACCAATGGCGTAGGAGAAGGGAGCGATTTATATAGATATCACAAACGCGGAAACCTTATCGTCTATTTTAACATCACACGTCTTATTTCCAAAATTATTTTAATTATTATTAATTATGAAGAACATTTCGCACATGTTTGCGTACAATTTATTTCTGTGTGATGTTACTATACATGTAGGTGAGCACAGTAAGATCTAAGGTGCCATGTACTTGTATATGGGTACATGTGTGTACCTAGTTCACTCGTTTTTGTTTTCTTCCTCCGTCATAAGCATTTAATAGTATGATACATTACCACTAAGAGATGTGGCTTGTAAATCATCCACGGTGGCGACCTTTTAATTTCTGATTTATTACTAAATTATCCAGAAATATACACTGCACAACTTGTTTTATAAAACGTCTAAAACGCATTTAATATACCGGGCGTTTTGCAGTAGTAAAAATATAATGTAAAGGTGCCATGGTTCCTGTAGTTTGAAATTGTAAGTAGTAACATCCTGTAGTAGTATATTGCGTGGAATTAAGAATGTATAGGGGTTGTAAGAGCGAGTACTCCGTCAAAAATTCATTGAGAAAGTCTAAGACATTTGTTTTTTTTTTATTTTAAATTTAATCGATTATAATCATTCGGTAATTAAGGATTAAAAGTTGAAAGGGGTGATGATCAATCAATATCAATTTAGTTTTTTGAATCAGTACACCGAGGAAATAAAACAAAAGCCCTCATTAAAATTGTTTTTGTAAACAATCGAATGTAACACATATCTATTTTGTTTTTCAGTATTCAAATGTTTTTCTTTTTTTTAGTTTTGTTTCTCTTTTGTAATGCAGTAGTTAGACAGGGGGGTAATAAGAGATTTTTCCAAATTTTGATGATGAGTTTTGTCTATATTCATGGTCTACTTTGGTACCTTTTTCCAATTCTTTTAGATTCTTTGTAAAACTCTTAGTTATCGAATAATTAACTATTAAAAGTTGAAATTATTAGTCAGTCAGTCCTAATCCGGTTCTGATTGGTTTTTGTTTCAGTTTTTTGAATCTATATGAGTTGTGTCCATTTTCTTCATTTACTGTGGTACAGGGGTGTAGTAAGATATTTTTTACCGAGACTTTTTGTCTATATTACAAATTTAATTATCCTTTAGCAATATACATGTACAGGTAAACACTTATCCACATGTGTTAGGTATATGTGTTGCTATTTTACCTTCGTTAGGTAGGTTTCAATTTGTCAGAATGCGGAAACACCAGCCTGTGCTAAATCCGTCCCGTTGTCGTAGTTGGCGTCGCCATGAAAGACGCCGACGCCGCCCGACGCACGTGTACGTTTCACTTGCGCATCGTTTTATTTCTTTTTCCTTTTGTTTTATTGTCTTGTTTGTTAAACCTTCTTCAGGGCCTTTTTTTATAAATATGAAAAAGACATAGATACATTCATGTATTTATAGATTGATTATTATTATTAGTATTTTATATTATTCGTGCATGGTATTATGTAATGTGTGTAAACTTGTCGGAATTGATAAAATGTATTTTTATCGGTCATACGCGGGTAACGCACAGGGTAAATATTGGTATCTATTAATTTGTCTAGCGTGTAAATAGAAATAGAAAAATTATCGTTGCGTTCTACGATAAACAAATACGTAGCACCATCAGGAATATGGCCTTATCACAAAAGTAGAAATGCATCCATCGGAAGTGCATTTTTCTAATATGAATCACCATAAACAAAAACTACAGTTAAGGAATAATGTAATTTCCACCCATCGGAACAATTGAGTGACCGATATAGGCTTTCACATGTTTTCTTTTTGAGATTTAGATATTGTGATTCAATTGAGCAACAAGTGTAACAGTAGGTATTAGGTGGAAACAGAAAATAAAATTGTGCAGAAAAGATTGGCGTCGATTCTGCTTTGTTTAGATATATATCTGTAATGGATTAATTAGCGAATCCTAATTAGGCAGCCATTCCATTTTTTTAACTGTAGGTATTGGTGCCTACCTATGGCTAACTAACAAGAATTGATTGGCTTAGTCATGGGAACTAATTGGAATAACTAGATATTGGATGTAAATAAACTAATTGATCTTGTCTAAAATACAAATTAGTCAAGTAGAATGGAGTGTAGGTACGAAGATGTAGGCTTTGATTTTTTTTTTATAACGTCTATTCAAACAATTATATGTACCTACGTATTAACAAGAAGTAAAAAATTTAACCCAGATTAGCAGCTACATTGGATTACATACATAGGTGATTGGTTATTTTATGATTAGTGAAAGAATTTGAACAATCGGAAAAACAAGAGAAAGATAATTAACAAAAGAAGATCATCAGTGACTCTTTCGTTTCGTTCGTTTGTTGTTTGTTGTTCGTTGAGATCGAGTTTTCTTCGTAAATTAATAAACAAACGCTATTTGTATTACCATTCTGGAGCAGTAGGTCAGGATGCAGTGTCATTAGCTGACGGCTAATGGGCGATAATACAATAAAATTTACAAATGCTTCTCCTTAAATCCTCGACAAAGTTCTTAAGTAGACATTATTATTCTTTGCCGTCAACGGAGATAACAAAATAATCAAGTTGACTTGGATTCCGCCGTTTTGGGTCACATTCCAACGTTTACGAAGCACAGAATGTTGGTAAGAATGAATCAGAGAACATGATCAAAATTGACACAGTCGAAAACCAATGCGTACATTTAGTATACCTTCTGCGAATTTCTTAAAAAGTGTTAAATTTCGAGTTTTCTCCAAAGGGGATGTTTTGCAAACTGATAAAGGTGGTAACTTACAGAGATAGAAGAGTGATACTCAGTTTGTATAAAGAGCAACAGGCAGTTATAGAGCTGGGGCTGCAACGTAGAGAAGTAAATATTAGGAAGGGAGTCAGACAGGGATGCACACTGTCACTGCTACTTGTTAATCTATACATCGAAGACGCGATCGACATCATTAAAGACAGTACAACTGTAGGGATAGATATACAGGGGCAAAAGATTAATATGCTTTTTGCAGATGATATAGCAGTATTAGCATCTAGCAAGGAGGACTTAGAGATTGCTATAAATAAAATGGAAGCGATATTGACAAAACAGTGTTGTATGAAAATAAATAAAAGTAAAACAAAAATAAGGGAATAAAAAGTAGGGAAAGAGCGAATATAAAGATGGGAGACGAAAGATTTAAAGGAGTGACTGATTTTAAGTATCTAGGAAGTCAGATAAGTCAGGACGGAAGGAGTATAGGGATATAAAGCAGAGGACAGCGCAGGGTCGAGTCACATTCAATAAAAAGAGGTCACTGCTGTGCTCGCGAACGGTTAATTTAGAAATTCGAAAAAGATTGTTAAAGGTGTATATTTAGAGCACGGAGCTGTAGGGGTGCATGATGGTCTAGTCAGAGACATATTAGAGGCAGAAACAGGAGTTCGAGGAATAGAGGTTAGGTTGCTGTTTCGCAAATAGTTAAGGATCCGGGATGTTCTAGTTTAAGGGAAATGCGAAGATTAACTCAGGATAGAAAAGAGTGGAGGTGCGTGTCCAACCCCTCTTAGGACTGACGACTTTATGATGATGAGGTGAACTTATACAGTCCTGAATCCTGATTCAGGTTTAAAGGCTGTCTTCGGTTGGAGTTGCTTCCTGGAGTATCGCTAGGACGAGTGATGAACTTCATCATTTGTCCTTCTATCTTAGAGTACATTTTCAGGAATATTTCTAGAAATATAGCGCCTAATATTTCGGAAAAAATATTTTTGAGTTCCTTACTGTCAGACCTTTATACCCCACTTGATAGACCAAAAAAAGTTGCTAGTCAAAAGTTCAGAGGTTTAGACCCTGTTTTGTTAGTCATTAACCAGTTAGTTGCGTTTAAGTTTCTGCGAACAGTTGACAGTCGAAACTGATGTCAAGCATTCATTTGTAGAGAACATTTTCAGGAGTATCTCTAGAAATATAACACCTAATACTTCGGAAAAAATATTTTTGAGTTCCTTAATGTCAGACCTTTCACATCATACCCCTCTTGATATACCAAAAACATTGCTAACCAATAGTTCTGAGATTTAGACCCTTTTTGTTGAATTCATTAACCAGTTGGACCCGTTTAAATATCTACGAACAGTTGACGGTCAGGCATTCATTTGTTTGTCCCTAATTTGTTTCTAATACGTATCTGCTGGTTAGTTGGGAATGGAGTAATTCTAACTGGGAATAAGCTGAAAGTTTAGCTTTTATTAACTAGCCGTATAAATGGGCATGTGTTTAATGTATTGTATCGTAGAAGGCGTTGGAACTTTAGGACCAACCTTGACTTTTACGATGAGACTTTTATCCGCTTTCCGTTATACGTTGTAGGGCTTGCCGACACTGTTGATTTATCGACGAAAATTACGACTAAGTTACGTATCCTTGTGCCTGTATGCATGTGTGTCGGTGTATTTGGACGTATCTGTGTCTGTCGGTTTGTTGGAAAGTCGATTACTTACCATTACTGTTGGCCGAGTCGAAAGAAGTTTTCCCTACATATAAACTTGTCGCTACTTAAGTGGTTTTAAATTAGAGCGTGATTCTATTGGTCCAGAATACGTAGAAATACGGAAATAGGGGTGGAAAAAAAAAAAGATTTTTATTTTTTGTTTTCGCCTTGCACAATGTCCGCAAATTGTGCAGAATTATGTAAAAACGTGTTCGAAACAAATAAGAGTTTTTATTATTTTGTTTTAAAACAAAATAACACAGACACTAATGTCACTTTTCTTCGTTTACAGGTTAAAGAAACAGTTGCAGAGGGATTACAAATGTAAGTAAGCATTCTTTTGTTACTACTATTAATAATTCCACTTGTTTTTATACGCAATGCGTCTTTTTAGTCTAACAAGGATTCAGTTAGAATGCGATATTTTCACAAAAGTTGAGATTATCGGCAATTGTAAAAGAGACGGTCCTGTATGAAGGATTTCTACTTGATTATTCATAGAAGTTATAAATTAAAAACTTTATTTCGTTTATGTGTCGTCCTGCACATGAATGTTTTACAAAAGGATTTTATTATCGCCCTGTATATGAGTGTATTTTGTAGGAGGGCGATTACATTTGATGCGTTATTAATAGACATCGAAATGTTTTTCCAATTTCGTTTTTCGGTTGTTTTTTTTTTGGTGTTCGTAATAAGTAACAGTCGAGATTTGCTAGAATTGTGACAGGCGAAAACCGATGATAGCAGAAATCGGCGAAACGGCCACATAGATTCATAAAGCCGTCACCTCGTGTAGCTATTTTGGACTTTGGTGTATTTTATGACTTTTCTGGGCGCCAAATCGACTAAGGTCCTATTAAATTTGATCCAGGTGGACCGGCGCACGACGTACCTACGACTTCGCAACTTCTGAAAATAGATTTCCATTTTAAACGTCGCGATTTCGTCCCAAGATACTTTACTATTTCCTATTGCAAATCGTTGAAAAAAGTAAATAATATTTTAGTAAAGGAAGAATTCTTCTTTGCCTTCCTGTAGGCATACAAAAATCCTTTTTTAGCGGACATACTGAAAAATATGGTGGAAGCGTCGGGGAGATAGTATGATTTTTTTTCTTCTTTTAAGCCCAAAAATGATATTCTGCGTTTCAAGTCAAAAAGGATATTCTACTTTTTAACACCTTCTGTCGCTATTACTATTCTTATTTAACTATTTTGCGTCTAATTAACACTTCTATTATTAATTAGTCATCAATTCACCACGATGAACACTTTGTCACTTTTTCACTAATTCTTTTAATTATCCTAAAATATTGTATTATGAGAGGAGACAGATGGTAATGAATTGATTGCAAAACAAAAACGCGTTTTTCGTAGTTTTAATTCGCCATTGTAGAAATCGGATATATTTTTAAAAAAATCCAAGTAGTCAAAACGTTAAATCGAATATTTTCGCAGTATTTCGCGCATCTTTTGGAATTTTTCTGAAAATTTTAACCAAAATGTGCGATTTTCGATCTTTTTGATAATGGACAAACAAACAAAATTGATTTAACAACAACAAATGCCATATTACGGAAATTTCGGGTCGATATGTCACTTCTGGATCTTTTCGTCTTGTTTTTCTTATACATTCACGTTCGCAGAATTCTTGTACGTAGCTATCGAGACAAATGACGAACAACAAGATTTATTATCGGTTAAAGTGTAACAGGCAGCTTTCACGGCTTGTTACCAAAATTTCCTGTCCAATGTTAACAAACTTCCGTTCCCTAGTTTGGACGTCACAGGCCAAATAAATGATTTGTTTACTCGATACTTCCTGTAAATGCTGTGTGACATTTACCTAGCGATAAAGTGCCAAGCGATTACCGATTTTCTGCATATGAACAGGGAGAAACAAACTATAATATCATAAATTATAACCATATCAAGCTAGCAAGACAAAATTATATTTGTAATTTATAAAATTCAAATTCAAATTGTCCTTAGTTTGTTACCAAATTCAATAATTTCTTGCCAATTTCAAAAATTTATCGCTAATTTGGTGCCAAATCCAAAAATTTGTCGCTAATTTGTTGCCAAATTCAATAATTTCTTGGCAAATTCAAAAATTTGTCGCTAGTTTGTTGCCAAATCCAAAAATTTGTCGCTATTTGTTGCCAAATTCAATCATTTCTTGGCAAATTCAAAATTTTGTCGCTAATTTGGTGCCAAATCCAAAAATTTGTCGCTAATTTGGTGCCAAATCAAAACATTTATCGGTAGTTTGTTGCCAAATCTAAAAATTTGTCGTTAATTTGTTACCAAATCCAAAAATTTGTCGCTTCAGTCGGTTACTGGAAAATACACGAAATGCTAGCCTGATGTCAAGCGCTGGCGTTACACATAGCTCATCTCGAAACAGAAAAGACATGAATAATACTGTATAGGCTATAATTTGTCGCTAATTTGTTACCAAATCCAAAAGTTTGTCGCTAATTTGTTATTTCTATTTGGAGATTCGCTATATGCAATGCCAGAGCTTAATACATTTCGTCTATTTTCCAGTAACCGGGTGGGGCGACAAATTTTTCGATTTGGTAACAAATCAGCGACAAATTTTTGGATTTGGTAACAACTGTTAGCGATAAATTTTAGCTTGATACATGTACGTATATCTATAAATTGTTCCATTTTATCAGCCAAGTCTATTTGCCCGGTAGGCGGTGAATCAAAACAGTTTGCGGCGATTGTTTTCCTGTTTGTTATAAGTACGTACATGTATGTGGCGGTATCGATTCAATTGTCTTCATAAAAGACATTTGATACACGATCGAAACAAATCATTACAAGATTTTCAGAGTCTACCTTATTAATGAACAAACGGACACAAAACCGTGCTAATGCCGTTTGTGTGTGTGTGTATGTGTCGAGATTAAGATGGGATCGAGCCAGTAATTGCAACCGCATTAATTTAGCTCAGTAATAATTAAAGTTATTACGTAAGTGGCTGTTGCATCAAACTGTTTTCTTTTAATAGTCCTTCAGTAGCGGTAACAGAGGCGGCACTGCCTCTTAATAATAATAATAATAGTTCGTTTTTTTATTTTTGTTCGATTGTTTCGTGGACGCAGTTCAAGTGACGACAGGCTCATCGTCAGTGAACTTAATAGATATAATATGAATTCAGCACTTATAAAATTAAATAATAAAATGTTAAATGGATATTCCGGTGTTTCCTGGCTGGCAAGAGGCGGGTTGTTAAACTCGAAACGGTCGACTTGGTACCCGGTTTAGAAATATCGCTCATTAAGTCCAGGAGATACAGTATGAGTCGCAGAGAAGGAACGAACAAAACCAACAGAGTAAATTTACATTTCCGAAAGATGTTTTTGATAATTATCTGTTATTATTACATTAATGTACGATAATTACCTTACTACATCGTTGAAAAAACAGACTAATCCCGTTCAAGTTTAAACATGATATGCAACCAATCATACACCCGAATATAGAAATTCAGACCCGTTCGTTTTTTCCAGTTGTTTACTTCCAACTCGATTTAATTTTAAATAGACGCCTTTACAGAATTTCACATACATTTAGTCGTTTTTCTACAATTTTCATCTGAAAACGTTCAATTTTCAACAGTTTTTCACGTCTAGCTGACAGATTGTCCTCAATCGTCAAATATGAAAAATACGTAATAGTTTGTTAATTTTAATAAAGTGCTTTTTCATAGTCTCTTAAATGGCCTGGTTGATTCTCAAACAAAACTACTTGTGACTTTGATGTCCTTTACGTCAAACGCACAAGACACAGATCGTTTTACGAATAAATAAAAATATGCATACAAACCAACATACAGATGGAACTCTAGTTCAGTATTACGGTCTGCGCGAAACAAGAGTTCGATGCTCTCTTATTAATTATTACATTAACAGCAATTAAATTGTATGCTGTATGAACATCACAACTGAATTGTGTACAGTACTTGTAATTGCAAAAGTACAACTCACTAAATAGCAAATGAAACAAATGCCTGCGTAGTTTTATAATTAAAAAAAGTTCGTTTGTTTATTTTAGGATTTTGTTTTCGACTTTTGTTGGAATTTGTTTTTATATACGTATAAGTGCCCAGTCATTTTTTTTTCGCAACTGTTTTAAGAAGTGCATTACACAAGTAATTTATTTTAAAGCTGTGCAATTATCATATGAATGCGAAAAAGTAATTAGCAAAAAAGCCTTTTGGTCCCAGTTAGATAACTACGAGCTTGGAAGGAGAAAGAAAGAGGTGACTGAAGGTGCACTATGTAAACTAAGTTTTTGCTCTTCTAAAGGCCAATGAATAGCTAAATTGCAAATAGGAACATATAAATAAAATGAAACATCTCGATTGGCATTCAGAAACTGTACTTCTCCAGTTATTATCATCAGCCACCAAATGGACGACGACTTACGACACATTTCACATCATAATAGTCACGAACTTGAAGATGTTCACGCTTCGCGGATGACTTCAAAGGTGCTTTTGATCGGTCATCTTCTTTTAAAATTGCGAAGATAAACAAATGCACCAGCGATTGACAAATGACAACAACCAATACAAACTGTCTACGCGTACATTAAATGATTTTATATTTATGATTAACCCCCCGCCCCTCCCCATAGCCCATAAATTGATGTGGGGTATCAAATGAAAGAGTAAGTCAGGAGGAACACAGTGATTATGGAGAATCTGTTTTTATGTTTGTTGAACGGGAGATTAGTTAGTGTTGTAATTATCTACTTGTCGGTAGACGACATGCTACAGTAACAACAGTTTCTTTTTCGTTAAGCGCTTGTGCAATTGTGTAGTAAATTTGAGATCATCACCGTACGTTGGTGCATTTCGTCCATATCTTGACGAAGCGATGTTCCTTTTTCTTTTCAAGCGGTTTTTGATATCAAAAACGACATTTTAATAATCCAAAACGATTTCATAAACGTGACCCAGCAATCAAGAAGGTACAAGGAAGAAGTCCTCCTCAAAGATTACCGGAATCGATAGTGACTTGCAACTTTTTATTTATTAAACTTCTATTGGATGTGGCGCATGTTTTGGTCGCTACCTACATTTCAGTGGGAAAATTTTGATATTTTTTTTTCTATACACCTGCACTACCTACCGCACTAACAAAATGAAAAGTAATTAGACGGATAATTACGTTAACATTGTTTATTTATTTAAAGCCGCCACAAAACCGTTGTCGTATAATATTACGCGTTTTTAACAAGAAATTATCTGATTAAATCCAATTTGATAGATTAATTGAATGTGGTGGGCTGTTCTTCAAGTGCTATACAGGAAAGACAAAACGTTTGTCGAACAGAAATTATTTATGTATACATTTCGTTGTGGGAATTTCTCTTCTATAGGGTTGTTCGGAAAGTCATTTCGTTTTTTTTTTGTGGAAATGAAAGACAGTTTTCGTATAATAAACAAATACTTTATTAAATTATTTATATATTGACCGTTCTGGTCCAACACCTTTTGCCATCTTTCTGGTAGTAGAATAATTCCACGCTCATAAAATTTTTGGTCTTTGCTGGCAAAAAACTGATCGAGGAGGTTTTTGACCTCCTCATTTGAGGTGAAGGTTTTACCGTCTAAAAAATTTTGGAGTGACCGGAACAAATAATAATCCGATGGTGCCAGGTCTGGAGAATATGGTGGGTGTAGCATTGTATCCCATTCAAGCTGTAAAAGCTTTTGGCGAGTGACCAAACTTGTGTGAGGTCTCGCGTTGTCTTGGTGAAACACTACACCTTTCCTGTTGATTAGTTCTGACCTTTTCTGTTGAAGTGCATCATTCAGTTTGTCCAGCTGATGACAGTAGACTTCCGAATTAATCGTTGTGTTATCCGGTAAAAGCTCAAAAAAAACGATTCCTTTAAAATCCCACCAAACAGACAGCATCACCTTTTTTTGGTGAATATCGGCTTTGGAAATGGTTTGAGCCGGTTCATCTTTTTTGCTCCATGACCTCTTGCGTTTGACGTTGTTGTATACAACCCATTTTTCGTCCCCAGTGATGATGCGCTTCAAAAACGGATCATTTTCGTGACGTTTGAGAAGCGAATCGCAGACGTCAATGCGGCGACACAGATTTCTCTCTGTGAGAACATGGGGAACCCATACATCGAGCTTCGAGGATAATCCCAGGCCTTTCAAGTGGTCATAAACTGTTGAATTTGATAAATTTAACCTCAATCCGATCTCACGTGTTGTTATTCGCCGGTTCACATCAACTAATGCCTTTATCGCGTCTTTATCAGCTTCAACCGGCCTTCCCGAACGTGGTGCATCTTCGACATCAAAATTGCCGGATCGAAATTTAGCGAACCAGTTCTGGCACTGGCGTACTGTCAACACACCTTCTCCATACACATCAGTCAATTTCTTTCTGGCTTGAACAGCATTTTTACCCTTTCTGTAGTAAAACAGTAAGATATGTCGAAAATGCTGCTTATCGCTCTCCATATTTAAAAGGGCACCAACCAAAAACTACTGCGTAGAATTAATTGGAATTTTTCACACACAAGCCTTGCTATATGAGCTCTCAAAGCATATAAAAATTATACGGCTTAAATGTGAAGTTGGGTGCAAAAGAATACAATTGAATCCTCTGTCGGGAAAAAACGAAATGACTTTTCGAACAACCCGATAGTTTGCAAGGATTCGAGGGTTGTTTACAGGGTGCGAAACCCTTTGACATTAAAGGATTACTTTTCAGTGGAAGTTTTTCTTGTTCTACAGTAATTTTTTGTATCCTGACTCCAGCCGGTCTGACGGTTATTTACAGGGTACGAAACCCCCTAACACTAAATTATAACGTTTTAGTGGAGGTTTTTGTTGTTCCACAATAATTTTTGGTATCCTAGCTCTAAATATCATATAAAGTAGGACTTTGCCTATGAGATAGTTTGTCAGCCGGTCCAAAGGGTATTTATGGGGTGCGAAACCCTTGAATATTCAATTACTACTACAACTAATGTATATTCGGTTTTAGGGCAAATTTTTGTATTCTTTTGATGACATTTTAGCGAATGCAATACTATTTTCTTCGTTTTCTCTTGTTGTTTTATTATTTCATTGTTTACGACTACAGTTTTTATTTTTCGAATTCGATAGTGTTTTGTTTTAAAAAAAAAAACAAGTTGCTCCTTGTTTTGTTTTATTCTGTTACTTTTTTACGTTTTTTCGTTCATTTCCGCGAGGAAGAACAACATGTTCTACTACTGGACAACATGTTGTATTTGTGGTTTCATTTTTAACCGTTATTCATACAGATAGAGGATATTGAATTTAGGCCAGTATAGCTTGTTATTGCACCAGCCTGAAATTATTTTTCGACACTCATCATCTACTGAACAAACATTGTTTAAGAACTTTTGGCCATATGTTCTTTCAGTGAATGCGTTGAATAAACAAAAGCTTCTTACACATCAACTCTGAGAACGATCTCGTTCTATCTTATTATTACAACCCCAAAGACAGGAATCGATTTCAAAATTCTTTTCGGGAAATTTATATGAAATTTAAAAATTAAGATCAGTTATTTAGTTTTAATTTCGCATGCATATGTCACTAATTTCTTTCTTATCAATAATCCAAATGAGATTAAGATAATATCTCGTTTGTATTTTAATGATATTGTGTACATTGACTGTAAAGTTGACTTAATTGGAAATTTGAAAAAATGTTGCAATTGTTCCAAAAGTCCTGAATATCTAATGCTTAACGATAGCAGTTTTAAAAACAAATGAACCCTTAGAGAAACAGTTTTGCTATTAAAGACAATTGAAAACCGTCGTGTTGAAACGAATTCATCAACAATTGTTTCGATGCTACATTGTTGTTTATACCGAAGAAACAAAACAATGCAGATGTCCGACGCTCTCTTTGATCTCTATGTATAAAACTGAAAGTGTTCTCGTTACCTAAATCGGCTTGAGTTGTTTACTTTTTTGAACAATTTCTACTGCAACGCTCGATTAGTAGTTAAATTGTGCGTGATGCCAATCGACACAAAGAGAGTCCATCACCATTGCCATTGGAAAAAAGTTTAACGGTTATAATAGAGTACGTAGGTACACCGTGTTTTTTCTGTGAGAAACAGCACCTACTTCTTTTAAATGCTACTTAAAGTCTGTGTTATACAACGTAAACTAATTGCGGTTAAGACTTGAGACCAAAAAAAAAGAAAGACGAGGTAGCTAGTTACGAATTTCAATTCCGCCTAGGCTGTTATGTATTTTATCTATTACAGGGCACGCGTTTCCAGTGACCTTACGTACGCCACTGCTGTAAATTGTCTAATTTTGTGATAATTGCTTGACGAATGTGTTTCTATTATATTTAAGTGGGCGAAGTATGTACGTGATTAAGGGTAATTTGGTGTTGTAGGCTTGACAGTTAATATTTTTAAAGCGATTTCCTAGTCGACAAACAAAAAAGAGAAGACTGAGATTTATAGCTTAATCGCTAACGAGCTTTTCATATACGAATCCGCGACTTAAGTACAGAAATATGAATGCTGTGAATGTGTTATAAACATAGCTACCTGTACATGCACAGATATATTTACGTAAATGTACGAAAATTTTTGCTCCAACTTGGTAAATAATTTCAGACATTCAGATAAAGTGGCTTTTGTTAACAGTTTTCTTTAATTTCGTTAGCGGAACAGAAATCTTTCGTTTATTGTTCAAAAATGAACAATTGATAGCGTAAACAAAATCGTAATAATAACATGAAAAACAATTAGTCGATGTTCGGTTTTTGTTACATTCGTTGCTTTTCTGTAACTGTTTGAAACAAGAAACAACTGAAAAGAAAACAAAATCATAAACAAGAATCGTCGTTCGGTTTCGTTAGTTTTGTTTTAATACAGTTACGTCTAAGAATAAATGATGAACAAAATGTAGTTTTGCGAGTAGTTTTTTTCTTTTTTTTTTTTTGCAGATGGCTGAAACTGTGAAGAAGTCAAGGATTGTAAGTGATCCTGATGAAAATTTGGAAGAGAGTTTGATGGAAGAATTTAACTTAAGACTAAAAAACTGCATGAACAATGTGTGTAATTTTTTTCCAAGCATTTTTTATAAGTATAGAATTACGATTAGGTACTTGTCATTATTTTCGTCTGCTATTTAAGACAGGCTCTTTATAAAAAATGTTTGGAAAACTAGTTTTTCTTGTACCGACTAACTTTTAGGATGATGAAACGTTCGAAGATGGCCAGCCCGTCAGAATATCGCCGGAAACGCACTACGAAAACATCGAAACGTTAAAAAACGGAATCGACAAGGTCGACAGTGAACCTAGAAACAATCACATAATATTACCCGATCTGACAAACGGCGGTAGCCAACACTTTATCGACATAGAAAGGGACCATATCAGTAACAATCTGAAGACTGCACTTAGTTCATCAGAAACAGACCAAAAGAATGGATACCGCGAAGACGTCCGTCAATTGGAGACCAAGACTGAAACCAGAGACTTAACCAAACCCGAACCAGTCTACGACATACCCAAATTGCCCCCACACCAGGTGAAAACCATCCCCCACGATTTGTACGCCGACCAAGTCGACCATGTCGCGTCCAAGCCAATTCTTGAGCTTCCCGCCACATGTCTGATCGATTTCTCTGATCCCAACGTCGAAACCACACCCGAAACGAAATCGGCGAAAGACAGGATGCTCCTGTCCACGGACGACACTTCGTGTCTTCTCTTTACCCAGACCGTTACCTCCCCAATGCTTACCCCTTCCGAAGAAAACATCGATTTCCTCAAGGCGCTCCAAACCCAGACTGATATGAACCACAAAGAAACTGAGGGTGTCGTCGCAATAATTGAAAAAGAAGAAGTTCCTATATTCGACCCCAACGTCACCATAAGCGAAGCCGACAGCGAGATCCTGGAACCTGGGAGCGAGGCCGATTCTAAACACGACATAGACGAGGACAATTCAAAGTCTGAAGAACAAGAGATACAAACGACGGGAATTTTGGAAAACGGAAGTGGCGCGGGTGAGGCCATTTACGAAAACGCCGAGTTCCTCCAGGAACATGCGGACAATTTGGAGAGCATTTACGAAAACGTCGAGGTCATTAGGGAGACGTCGAAGAGGAGTAGCAGCAGCGAGTGCAAAGCCGCGGGGTCGGAGATAAGCGGCGACGTCGAAGTCGAAAACGTACTCAATCTGAAAGAGAACAGCGGCAACGGCGACTTCAAGGCCGAAACGTCAAAATTCATACAAAACGAAATCGAATTTGTCGAAAACAACGACGACAGGGTCCCCGTTCCGTCGCCACCTCCCCAAAACTCCGACGAACTCAAAGACAGTCTCGAAGCAGAAACAATTGAAATCCAAAATCCTCCTCGTGAATCTTCAAATGTTGAGGAAGAACAACTAGTAACAGAAACAATAACGAAAGGTTCGCCTTCAGGAGACCAAGCAGAAGAAACAAAAGAAGACCGCAAGTCCGTTCCCGATAAACAAATCGAAGACGAACAGAAACCCGATGTTGCGAGAGACTTGTCTTCCGGTGACCAGTCGGATTTTGTCGACCGGAAGCCGGAAGAGGCGGAATTGAATAATAAAGAAGAAATAACATCGGAAACGATTGAGAATAACAGCAACGATGTCGAAACAACAACCGAAGTGAAGAGGACGATTATTGGTGATGATGATGTTGATGATGAGGAGGCCGTTGTTGCAACGACCACTGTCGAGTCGATTAGCAAGTTCGAAACTGAAAAGGTCAAATCGTTGAAGATGCACTTCATGAAAACGGACGTGAACGAATCGATTGTGCTGCAGAAGGCGGAAGAAAAAGAACTCGAGGAACTGAAAAGCTTCAACATAATGAAGAAAATAAGCAAGTTCGAGAGTAATTCTGTCGTAGCAACTAAAGAAACCGCCGCAACTAATAACGCTTGCTCTAACATTCAAAACAACTGCGTAAGTGCACCATTTTTTTTTTTTTTTATTCTCTTGTTTTCGTTCAGCGCGCTTCTATTGTTTGTTTGTTTGTGTTGTTAGCTTTTTATTATCTGTTGAAAGTTTTGTATGTTTGTTTTTTTTTCTGGTTAATCTGCGTGATTTTTATTAAGAAAAATATGAAAAATTCGACAAGTGCAGTCTTAAAAATGTGTATTTACCGTTAATTACTTAATAGGGGTTGTTTATTTTTCGAATTCGCATTTGCATCTCTATAAATTATGCAAAGTAAAAATTCCTCAATAATTCTTAACTCTACCTCCCAATTTCGTTTTAGAGGTACCAACCTTCCAGTTCTAAAATCGTTAACGTAAATCCCCCCTCCCTTTCCACTTGCCCCTTCCCAGGACAGTCCCATATAGAATCTTTTCAGGAAAATAAGCATTATAAATGGATTCTTGGAATTTCCTATTGATTTTCTTTGTTAAGAAAGACACGTAATGTTATCACGTACTAGGTAATACCAAACAAAAAAAATTGATTAATTATTGTTAGGTTCAAAGCTCCTTTTGTGATTTTCACTCGCGATATGCGAATGTGTTAACAAAAAGGCAATGCCAAAAAACAACTAATTTTCCAATTATTTATGCTTTCGCGATAGCTAACTGCGGTGTAAAACTCCCTTTTGTTTTATTATTAAAACGATTATTATTATTATTATTATGTTGATACACAATAGAAACAATTGCTTATGTTTTATGTCATTATCGTTTACTAGAAAAAGTCGAGTGAAGCAAAATGTGTTCGTTAAAATTCCAGTAAGCATAATAAATTGATTTTGCAGCAATAATAAATAATTTGTTCCCGTTAATCAAGGAGGCTCGACTCGCATTGTAATTTTATTTAATTTTTGTTTTTTTGTACATTATTAAAACTGCACTTGTTCTGTTCGCGTTAAAAGTCATTCGTTTGACTTATGACCTCCCTGTATACGCAGAGTACGGTCACTCACACCGAAACCCACTATGTCGAGACCTCGGCCGATCTTCGCAATGGCGAAGAAAAAGCCGTAAAGAAAAAGAAGTCCAAAAAGTCGAAGAAAGATCACGAAAAAGAGAACATATCTGTCGTAAGTCATTTTTTTTTTGTTTGTTTCTTTGTTTTTGTTTTTTCTGTTGTTTTCTGTGGTTGTTTTGTTTGTTTTTATTCATGCGCCTTTTGTTTTGCGTGCTGCATTTTTTTTTCTTTTCGTTTTATAGCTATAGCCATAGTAAATTCTCCTAAAATAGTTAAAAATCCAAACACATAATATCTAGCGAGTCTGAAAAGTTGTTTATTTGAAATCCTAGACGCTAATAACTTCATGGAAGAGAAAGTGGGATTGTATTTATTATTTATTTACAAATGGCACGGTTATTCAATGTAAATTTCTTCTACTAATTAGCTGATTTTAGAACAAACAAATTTTTGTATGTTTAAGATATTTCTTATCTACGGATACTCCTCATTCTAAATGTACAATGAGTACCTATTTAAAATTACAAAAATTTAGTATATTACTTCAAAAAACTATTCTAAATAATTTAATTTTTTAATTATGCTATTTACCGAAGCCGAAATAACATTTTTTTAGACCGAAACTAAAGAAGAAGATTCGTTTTACAATGTCAACGTTAAAAACCTGGTAAGTGCTAGACTTTTGCCCTTTACCGTATAAAAGATGTAAGATGCATGGTTTCGTTTTCATTTTTTGTTGGAATGCCTGTACCATTAGGAATGCTGTTTTCATTTTCGTCTTTTGTTTTAATATTGCATTCTTATGTTTTGTTCGTGTTTTTCTTTTTGTGCTACAGTGTAGGAGTTTTGGAGATTTGACAAAAATCGAGAAAGACAAGGGAAAACTTGAACGAAACAATTGGGTAAGTCTGTTGTTTCAATGCGAAAACGACAATAATCACGTGCAAACATGCTTGGTCTTATTACTGTAAACAAATGAACGATTGGGGCTTCTATAATTCCTGTATACAGGGCGACAAACGTTGGTCACCCTGTATATTCGCATACGAAATTCGATACTGAATTTCTATAATGACTTAATCATTCCAGAATGAAATACAGTGGAAATTCTGTAACTCGAACATGTACAACTCAATATCATTTCTAACTCGAATATCTTTTGTTTTCTTGACATGTAACTCGAACTTCTAATACCTATTTTTTTTTTCGGAAAAATCAGTTTTTAAGCGGAACTATTACTATCATAATAAATTTTCTTTATGATATTCAGCAAAAAAGCTATTAGGTTAAAGAAGGAAAAGGCAACACGAACGAAGAACGTCTATTGTTAAAACATTTTTGGTCTCGAAGCCTTATAGTATAACTACTATCGTTGTTTGAGATTGTAATTATTCTTATTTTTTTTTCGTAATATTTAGATACTAACCCAAAGGATTTTAGTGACGCAGTCGTTGCTTAATAGGTTGATTTCCGGGAAATTGAATTTGGTTGAGGCGACGTTGATAATGTTGATATTTACCGTAGTACAATTATTTTTTTTCCGTTGAATTATTGATTTTAAACCATTCCAGAATTTCCTCGAAAATACAAACTTATTATACGTGAAAATCTGCCTCAAGAATTACCATCTTTCGTTCTTAGAGGTATTAGTTAGCTGTTTGTGTAAAAACATTTTTGGTCTCGAAGCCTTATAGTGTAACTACTATCGTTGTTCGAGATTATAAGAATCATTATTTTTTTTGAAGAAATTTTCAATAACCAACCATACACTGGAAAATACATATACAATAGTCAGCTTCTATTTGTGTTTTGATATTGTCAAATTGATAATAATAAATATTCACCTAAAGTGTTTATTTTACAAAACAAATAAGGATTTTTGAAAGTTCGATATAGTACCTACATTTGTAGTATGTTTTGATACCAGAACGGGGCATATAAAGTCTAAGACCTGGAATGAACTTCAGTCATTATTTAAACTCAGTATCGTGTAATGAAAGTGATTTTGCGCCAGTTCGTTTTTAATGTGCCATTCAAACGCAGTCAATTAAACTAAACGATATATACTACTAACAATGACTAAATAAAAGTGCTTTTAAATCGCCAACTTGATAAATAATCAGTTCCTCGATCGTACGAAATAACAATTTCTCTCCGTTGTATTTTGTTTAACAGTTAAAAAAAAAAAAAAGAATAATCAACAGCCGCATTTTTAATTTTTGTTTTTTCGTAATATTTGGATACTAACCCAAAGGATTTTAGTGACACATTCGTTGTTTAATGGGTTGATTTCCCGGAAATTTAATTTTGTGAGAGGCAACGTTGGTAATGTTGATATTTACCATAGAAGAGGTTAATTGATCATTTAATTAATTAGTTTTTTTATAGATACGTATACTATTTAATGAATTTGGAATTCTTAGTAGTCGATCATAAATTAGATTTCAATATATAGAAAATTATTTTGTTTTCGCTGCTGATTATTCTTTAAATAAATTAATTGTTTCTTATTAACAATAAAATAAATAACCGAGCATGCCCTTTTTCTCAATTAGAGGACAAAGTCTTTGAACGATGTTCGTCATTTAACGTACAACCGTAATATCGAAGTATTCAAAGGGGTGTCCGTACGAGCGCTGGTAAGATTATCACTAACCTACCCTTTATCCGATAATATTAAGGGCAGGCATCAATTGTACCTAAAATTTTAAAATTCTTTCGTAAACGCCCTGTACATTATTACTTCTTTAATGTACACGAAAACAATTGCTCAGTGATTGAAAACAAATGACTGTCTTCTTCATTTTTTATTTTTGTTTTTCGAACGTAAACCTTTTTCGAACCATTAATAACTTTGACTTTTGATTTCTGCCCTTTTTATGGTAATTTTGTCAGCTAATATCTAGATCTGGCTTTTTGTGCGAGCTTCGTCGGCGCCAAACAAGCTAATTTCGTTTGATCTTTTTTTTTTGCATGGTGCATGGCCTGCTACTACTAATAACAATAAAATAAAACAATAACAATTGCGTATTTAGCGAGAAAGGTTTCTCTGTGGTTGTGACCATAAAGGTCTGGTTAATGTAGGCGATATGGCATCTAGCGGCAACATTAACGATAGGATCCAGAAGCTGGTGAGTTCAGCTTTATATTTTACTTTTGTTTGTTTGTCTGGTTGTTGGTTGTTGGTTGTTGCTATTCATTTTTTTTTTATTGTTCTCCATCTTTTTTGGGCATGCGCACATTTGAACGGCTTCATTATCTGATGTTGGAATCTTATCATAAGGAGGTAATACGGTGGCTTTACGGGGCAATTTTTGGGAAATTCGGGTTCGAATTTAGTTCTGCTTAACTGCAGGGAGAATTGAGGTGCACCCTGAATTTGTTATTTAGGATTACAAATCACACTTATGTAATAGGGAGAGTTATCTTTCGGTCATTATTAATTAATGACCATCAGCAAACTATCCTTTCGGTCTTCTCTAATTATTATCGATCGATTTAACCCAGAAGTACGCGAAGAATTAACATGTTGGAATTATCTGTTTACGTAGAAATCCAGTTTCAACAAGTTCGACGCTTTGCAGAAGAAGAATGTGCTGCACGTCCGGTCATCCGACGCCTCAAAGGCCCAAGAAAAGTTTTCTGTAAGATTTTACAGTGTGTTTTCTGGTTTACGTAATTAATATATGCTCGATGATTTTATAGGGTGGTCAAATTGAAAATTCGAACTGTAAAGCTTGTGATAAACCAGTTTTCCAAATGGAATTAGTCAAAGCTGAGAAGGCCGTTTGGCACAGGGGCTGCTTCAGGTGTACCGAATGTAAAAAACAATTAACGTAAGTTTTCTTGCATATTGTTTTGATTACCACTGTCGAATTTTGTTTTTTTTTTTTCGAGTCTTTTGTTTTCAATAGATAGTCATTTGTTTTAAGTTTCTTTTGTTATTGGTGTTATTGGGAGGGCCTGTATTACTATAATAATAATTTCAGAGTGGACACCTTCGAAAGTCATGAAGGTAACCTGTATTGTAAGCCCCATTTTAAGGCCCTGTTCGCTCCAAAAGTTGTCGACGATGATGTTCCCCGTAAGTGATCATTTTTTATTTTTCTTTAGTGTCTTCGTTTTTTAAAGTACGTACAACCTTGAAATGTTTATAAATGAGTTAGAAATTAATTATGTGCTGACTTTGATATCTATAATTCGAATTTCCCCAAGCAAAAGGCGGCTCTTTTGTTATCGACGTGCCAAGCCTTCTTTTATTTTACAATTTTATCAACATCTATCATAATTAGCCCTTTTTTTTTTCCTTCTTAAAATATCAAATTGTATTACCTGGATGGTAAACAATTCCGCGTGTTTCACGGCTTTATTATTAATCACTACTATTATTATTATTATTTTTTTCGTTGAATTGTTGATTTTAAACCATTCCAGAATTTCCTCGAAAATACGAACTTATTATACGTGAAAATCAGCCCCAAGAATTACCACCAGACGTTGTTAGAGGTATTAGCTAGTTGTTTGTGTAAAAGCGAAAAACAAACGCATTCCTTAATGATTAATACAATAAACATTTCTAACAACATGTTTTCGTTATAGATGCGTTACGTATTAATACAAAAATAATAAAATTAACTGCTAACAAATTAATTAAATAGTGTGAACCAATATTAAAAAAAGAAAAAGACGGACAGACAGACACACGAGAGTTCCGTTTTTCACTATTTTCTGTATTGTTTTTTTTTTTTTTTTAATTTGTGGGGCTGTCCATAACTAAGTTCATCAGCATTATAAGATCGTCAGTCCTAAGACTGATTGGACACG